TTCAGACAGTCACCATGGGATTGCGCTCCAACTTTCCTCTGCTTCCCAAAACCACCCGGTATCATCAAGAGGTGCCTCCGAAATTTTTCTCTGAGAACATCAACGGATCGCTACAAAGCCTTTCCAGTGATGCTGATATCCATATGGACCGTCGAGATTGACTTTTTCTTATCAGTGAAGATAATTAAAAAAGAAATGCGCATAAGATGTTGCTTTTCTGAATTTACAAATATCTCAAGAAACTGCACCTTGTCCCACGACGTGGCCATTTCTGCACCGCGCAAAGTTGGGTCTTGCCAGCTGGTGCCTTGGCAGTCAGACAGGGAGCGCAAAGATCGTGAGTGCCTCGAAATAGGTACGCGGATGGTAGCCATTCAGGGATTCTGGACGGTATATACCAACGCAATCGCCAGAAAGTCCAAAGCTTCTTGCAATTTCTCTGTTCGAGTGTCGCTGTGTGAAGCGGTTGCTGTGCTGCATAGATACAGTGCGTAACAAAAGTATGTGGACACCTCAAATTTTTGTCCTACAAAATTGCCTTTGAGTTTTGTCGATATGAGAACTTTATTGTTGAATTCCCCGTAAGCGAAAACATAGGAGTACACAACTTCTGAGCACTTTATGAACTACTGTACAATTATTTATTGTTTTGAAAAAGTTTCTTAATAACAAAAGTATGTGGACACCTGAGGATTTCCCAAGTGACTCTAGATCTGCAATCCATTTTTATGGTCTCTAGTCCCCATTAACCTGTATTCATACCCCGTCGTGGTAGTCCTCCCTACGAAGACGAACAGGCTTGGATTCGAACTTTCAGTGCTACAGGACACTCGAACAGAGAAATTGCAAGATAGCTTGGACTTTCGGCGATATGCGTTGGTATATACCTCCAGAATCCTGATGGCTACCACTCGGTACCTATTTCGAGGCACTCACGATCTTTGCCGGCAAAAGACATCAGAAGAATAGCCTAAAACTCCCCACTTTCTGTGGCACAGATCCATGCCGCGATGAATCTACCGGTCCTAAAAATGACAATATGGCGCTCTATTCAATCAAGTGAGCACATCACTAGAGAGACCATGAAGAAAGCTCCCTGTCTGACTGCCAGGCACCAGCTGGCAAGACCCAACTTTGCGCGTGCAGAAATGACGACATCGTGGGACAAGGTGCAGTTTCTTGAGAGATTTGTAATTTCAGAAAGGCAACATCTCATGCGCATTCTTTTTTAAGTTATCTTCACTGATAAAAAAAGTCAATCTCGACGGTCCATATGGATATCAGCATCACTGGAAAGGCCTTTGTAGCGATCCGTTGATGTTCTCGAGAAAAATTTCGGAGGCACCTCTTTGATGATACGGGGTGGTTTTGGAAGCAGAGGAAAGTTGGAGCTGCAATCCCATGGTGCTGTCTGAACAGTCAGGAATACCAAGGAGTGCTTGAGTCTGACATCTTGCCTTTTCTGAGCGGGCACGATGCAGGAACACTGTGATGCAGCAGAAGAACACGGCTGTGCATATTCAAATTCTACTAGAAAATGGCTCCAACGCAATGGTATTATAAGAGTGATTGATTAGCAGGCGTGTTCTCCTGGCTGCAACCCAATCGAAATCCTGTGGGGGATAATGGTTCGACGAATCTACATGAACAGTGGGCAGTACAACAGCGTGTGAGGCCTGAAGGAGACGGTAGTTGCTGTATGGGAGGATATCGATGAAGACACCATGACCAATATTGTCCACAGCATGCCAGACAGAATGTTCGAAGCAATAGTGAACACTGGAGGAAGAAACAACTTCTATTTTCCACGATACATTTGTTTTTTGTTAGGTGTCCACATACTTTTGTTATTGAGAAATTTTTTCAAAACCATAAATAATTGTTCAGTAGTTCACGAAGTGTTTAGGAGTAGTGTATTCCTATGTTTTCGCTTATGAGGAATTCAACAATATAAGTCTCATATCGCAAAATTCAAAGGCAATTTTGCAGGACAAAAATTTGAGGTGTCCACATACTTTTGTTACGCACTGTATACTCAAAATCCCTGAGATCGGGTAGGCGTGACCGCATGTTTGAACTTAACCTGAAGGTTTCTATGCTTCTTGTGGGTTATTTCCATCTTGACACAGTTGTTGTCGTGCCTCTGTCAAACACATAACAAGATGACAGCTGTCCCAGACTGGAATATTCCGCGAGTAACCAGTTCCGTGCCATGTTTAAATGCCACGCCTACTCTGGCTCAGGGATAAGGAGTGTATGTGGGTACAAGATGTGTATGTGGGTACATACATACATGCAGCCGTATTTAGTGTAACGCTCAATGCGATACCAGCGGGGAATTCGGTCGAAACTGCTTTCTGAACCGTGTAGGACAAAGGTTTTTTGCAGGTTTTGACACTTTTGCTTCGCGTTTTCGCCATTTTCTCCATTATATAGCAGAACGAGTATCGTATTGTCATGCCTTATGGCTTCAATTACGATGGCTGCTATTTACCGCCTTAGTCTAAAGCTAGCGGCTTGGTGGCGTAAGGGATTGCCCACTAGTCGGGTCAGAGTAGTAAGGATAAGGGTGGGATGTAGGTACGAGTTCCGTTTGAATTAAGTCTTCGGTTCATAATTCAGCATTCCTGTAGTAATTTCACGATCAAGTATACCTTGCATGAACAACTATGCCAAACAAAACGAGTGCCTGACTGACCGGCCATAAACATTTCCTGTTTCAGGGATCAATCTCCATATCAGCGATCAGCAATTAAGCTTACCTCGTTCAACACCTCAGACAAAGGTGGAGTGTACGGTTCCGTGCCATCGCAATGGACAACTCAACGATCTTCACCTGGGCAAGCTGGCCAACTACTGTACAGCTCCAATAAGGTGGTGACCGAGTAGAATTCTGTTTAAGTTTGTATTTAGTTCCTGTAAATGTTGTTTGATCAGTTCCAAATCAAGAACAGAGAGCTTTCCTTTCATTTTCTCTTTTATCTACTGTTTAGTTCCTCTTTCTAGTTTCACGCTATGCTTTCCCACATGTGCGTGTGTTGTGTGATGGTTGAGCACACTTGTACTGTCCTAAACCGTTCCACTTCTAACCTCTAACCATAGTTTAGTACTGTATAGTATTTATACTAACTAACGCTTTGCAGCCAACCATGTCGGCTTCGTCATCGCAACAAGAGCAGTGTTTCACACCAACTTCAACCCTAACAAGTCAGGGTTCAACGAGTAATTACGATGGTCAGACACCAACACCTGGATCTCCACAGAAAAATACTCCACTTTATGGGCGAAACACTTCTAACGGCAGTGGTGGTGGTGGCGGAGGTGTCTATGGGACGCTTGGCGATGATAGCACATACGCCGATCGTACCCTTCAAAAACCTATGCGAAATGTCTCAACCGGCTCCACTACTGTACGTCATACAGTAAAAACAGTTGGTCAGAGAAATGACGATTCGGCTAACTTCAGCCTCACTTCGTCAAATGGTAGCTCTGAAGCCAACAAAACCAGTAACGATTTTGCTACCAGTATTGTATGAAATCCTTAAAGCAGTTATTTTTATTACTTTGTACATTTTTCGTTCACAGTAGCATAGTTCAACACTATCATCAGTTGTGTATTACTAACTCGCACAAAATAATTGCTGTTTCACTGCTTAGTCGCATAGATTGGAAGAGTCGTTTTGGACACACATTCCGCGATGATGAGCGGTTGGGCGGAGACTCAAAACCACTGGGCCTTCTTCATACAATTGTCACCTTTTTTACCGTCATGCAAAAATGGAGACAACAAAGCGGGGAGCCGTGCGGTTATCAGTCTCCGCCCAAAGCTCCGCCCATCCAGCCATCGCGGAATGAGTTTTTAACATGGTATCTAGCTTCTGGAACACAGCGCACACCACAGATGAGCTTAGCGTTGGAACAGATTTTATCCCATTTCACCTGTTTGTTACTGTTTATTATTGTTGAACAGCTAAAGGCACTCAGCCCAGAATTTTGGTCCAAACCATTGGCTGAAGGTGCGAGATGATGCGTGCGAGAAATGCCTGTGATTGGTTAATGTGAATTATCCACCAATTGTTCACATTGCACCACGGGCTAGAACTCGTAACAGGCTTTCATGCTTATCCAACTATTTCTCTAATCTGTCTGACGTTCTTCTTGTTCTCACTTTGAAGCAACCTCATCAGACATTCATAACTAGTAGAGATTACATTTCATTGTATTTTAATCGATCTATATATGAAAAAATTTGAATTCTTACTGCCGGGTATACACTTTCATTACAGCCAACATAAATGTAAACCAGTCATTACAAAGCAATCACATTCATTGTTGCCGACATACTCGCCATGTTGTCATACTTACATTTCTATCTTTATCTTTTAACTTTTTCTCTGGCTTCCTCTTTCTCTCTGTCATCATCTTCATCATTTTATCGATGATTTCAACCCTTGAATCGGTGCTCTCGTTCGATCCACTATGTATTCCATATGATTGATATCGTTGTTGTTGAATTCGAGTCCTCTACTGATTGACTCATTTTGTTCTGAGTGTTACGTGCATATTTCATATTAAATGTTAAATAAAAATACAATCGCTTTGAAAATGTCTTTCTTCTACTGCTCAATGATTAAGGCAGCGTTCAGACTTCGCGACGGCAGCGCTTGATCGCGCATTCGACTCGATCGATATGCATGTTTTTGACTGCATCGATCTCGTTGAATGTGCGACCGAAGCGCTGCCGTCGCGAAGTCTGAAAGCTGCCTAACGCATGCGCTCGTGACACGGGTAACAATATCAGCTATACCAAACGCCAGTGAGCATGTGGCAAGACAATCGTAGTTCGCCTCGTCGTTAGGTGCCGCGTGCGACGCGCATGCAAATGAAGATGTATCTAGGTCCAGATATCGATAACAGACAAGTTAAAACCAAAAGTAGCCATAAATGTCTGTAATGTCTTACATGAAATACGGTGCTCCAGTCATTTAGCAAGGCAAGTCCCACGATCAAGTGCTAAGTAGGTGCTCAATCATGAACCAGTAGTCCATAAGTAACTTTTCAGTAGAGAAAGAAGCAAAAAAAGTCTTGGGAGCACTCTGGACAAGACCCTCTTAGCAGTGGGCGCCTTGGACGAGTTTGTCGGATGTCCACATGCCCAGGATTCGACGTGCTACCAATTCTCTGTGAGATCATATGAAATCGCCCTACGACGCTGCAGGCAACGCTATGTACGTACGGGATTCAGCTTGTAAACCGTTGTCTTGCAGAGTGAAAGTAATCGTGGTTGCAATGGTCACGCATCTCTAGATGTTTATCTCGCTGTTTCAGGTCAGGAACGTGGCATATGTACCCCTGCGGATGCGGACAACGATGCCAAATGCACGGAAGCATTTCGTGGACCACTTGATCGCGGGAGCTGTCTCTAAGGAACCATTCGCCCATCGCCGCGCGGAAGCGAACTCGATTGTTTCGAGCGTCTCCCAAAGTCATTGGTTCCGAATTCATTGCAACAGTGCCCGCAGGGCGATTCTCATGCACTAAGTCTACTTTCCTACAGTTCAGCACCGCCGCGACGTCCCAATCCCAATTGAGACGGCCCAATCTTCTTTCTTGAAGTAACATTCTGCCACTGCTCTCCTTCGACAATGGGCTTCAAATATGAATTGTGGTGCTAGTTCATTCACCAGTGGAGAAACGAAAAAAAAACGAAAATGAAAAGCGGTCGAAACAGTGAACGGCGCCCTAAACATAGTTCCATGACCGAAGGATCATTCGCAGAACTAAGACACTGCTGCGCTAGCTGAATACCGTGCGAAGGACAGGAGAACAAGAATAGTAAAAAGGAGCGAGTGATACGACAAAGGAAGAAAGGTTGGTCCTAAACAGAATGAATTATACAGAGTGAGCGCAAACGCTATGCTTGCGCTTCTAGATGAAGGAAATGAAGGACCGCTGTATCTGGTCCCCAGATGGGCGGGACATTTTACACGGGTACCATTTCTTCCGAATAATGACGGCCGCAGCGCCATCCTCACGCACGGGAGCGTAGAAAGCCTCCCGATCGGGTCATCCAGCCACATTGGGTATTCGCTGCTTGTCGAGACTACTAGAGTAGTGTCAAGGCCTACTTTTGGTGTGAGTGAGGAGGCCTGTAAAGGATTTATCAGTTGCTCTATGAGTTATTCGTTTTGACGGTGCCGCCGAACCTTGTACAGGTCTTGTTTTGTGAAAGTCTCAACATTTATGAGTCACGCATTCATCAATTTGTTTGGATTAGCTGCATTCTTCGAAATGTAGCTACTAAGAGATTCAGTTGAGTAAAATGAAAGTGAAGGACCATAGTAAGTTTACTGGACGTTCACCGTCTCCAAAGTGAGATACATTGGGTTGGCACATGAGTAATGGGTTTTTTCAATTGAAATTTCGTTCCAAAAGTGAAAGTTTTTGCAAGAAAGCTTGATATCATCTGATACGGATATTCTTCGTAGTATAAGAATATCAAACGGCTTGGTTGAGGAAATGATTTTGTGAATTTTTAGCCGTTGAAGTTGAAAGTGAAGTCGGCGAAAATTAGCACCTTCGACAACTGCCTCTATTTACGTCTACTCGAAGTGCTAAAATCGCTCAAGCTGCTCCACACATTTGGGAAAGGTTGACCTAGAAGTCTCAGCAAGGGAATCTCAATAGGACGCTTTGGAATCAATTTCAAGAATTTCGAAGTTGACAACCTTCACCTCGCCCATATTGGGCAGGCTCACGTCTGTTCCACCTGAAATTTTATGCTAATATTTGAATGTTTCGCTAATATGTTTTGCATGTTCTAATAGCAAATTATGTGCTCTATAACACTGCAATAGAAATCTGTTCTTCAGAGCTGTTTACTTTCTATTAATTTCAGGTTATCATTACGGAGCGTGAGGCGATGAGAATTAGCGTTCCCGACTTCCTCTCATTACCGCTGTCCACGGAAGCTTCAAAGCTCCAGAGCAGCTCAATAGAATCACCATGGTTTGAGTAAGGCATAGACTAACAGATTAGTATTAGGATGGATCACAATTAATTTTGGAAGAAAACACAACCGACAACGTTGACGTTGCAGACATTCGGTCGACCCATACATACCTCACGATTTTTTTTGTTTTCCTTAGTAAATTTCAAACACAGTATTTACAACACTATAAAAATATATACATATTCACAATAAACTTGTCAATGATATATTCCCCATTGTTTCTTACAACCTCCTCCCACCGATCAGCCAGCTGTTCAATGCCTTCTCGGTAAAATCCATACATTCCATATTACCAGCCTGAAAAACAAGGAAATGAACGGATTTTCAAAATAGCTGCACCGCAGCGTTATAGAGCACGAAATTCGCTATCATAGCAGAGCATATAAAACACATTAGGGAAATATTCAACTATTAGCATAAAATTCGTGGAAATCGGGAACGCTAATTCTCATCGACCTCGCGTTCCGTAATGATAACCTGAAATTAACAGAAGGTAAATAGCTCTAGAGGACAGATTTCATTGCATTGTTGTAGAGCACGAAATTTGCTATCAGAACATGTAAACATATCAGCTAAACATTCAACTAGTAGCATAAAATTTCAGGTGGAACAGACGTGAGCCTACCTAATATGGGCGAGGTGAAGGTTGCCAACTTTGAAATTCTTGAAATTAGTTCCAAAGCGTCCTATTGAGATTTGGGATTGATGATATCAAGCTTGCTTGCAGAACATTTCACTTTTGGAACAACATTTTTAATTGAAAAAAACAACGTTTTGTGGGTTGATGGTGACCTCAACCTCAGGGAGTCCTGCACGGCCCTTCTCCCTCCCAAGCACGGACGACACTTGCGATTGTTCGCCAGAATATCCATGCCAGGAAGGGCTTCTAAAATTCAAGACAACTCTGTATTAGAAACACGCATAGGCCTTAATTTTTATAACAGACAAACTTCAAAATTTCTTTGAAAAAGCCAGAGTTTCCAAGAGATTCAGAATGGCCATTGTAATATGTTGTTGCTGTATTTCGGTGATGAAGCGAGCCCTCTATCTTCTTCTGAGGTAATTTTCGAGCCCGGACAGGGAACTCGAAGAGAGTATGATAGGCTCTATCATTCCCCTAACTAACTAGCCTTCCTCCAATCCAGGGCTATCTGAAGTCACTCGAATGCACTATGAATTATCCACAAAAAGAAGTCATGAATATGAAAAAATTCTAAAGAATCTCTCTATGGAAATAGACCTAAAGTATAATGAAGGTGTGAGAGCTCTAATTGTCAGTGGGAATATCAATGAGGTAGTGAGGAAAAAATGAAGTCTTGCTTTTATTTCGGCTTTCAATGACACGGAAACTTTTCAGAAACAGTGTGGTGTGCAAAAGAACTAAAAGAAAAGCAACGTGCAAAGTATCCTGAACTGTAACCCTATGCGGTTGCACGGATTCGAAAACAGGAAAAAAAGAAACGAAAGAAACAAACCTGAAAGATACCGAGCAGGAGCAGTCTATATGGACTGCTGACAAAGGCT